CCATGACGGATACTGGTTGGGTGGTCCTTGCGATTGAAGGTGATCGGACATCCCGACCATCAACTGAATTTCGGGGCCACCAACTCTATGGCATAGACATCCTGAAGTGCATGCTTCCTCTCCTTCTTGGGTATATGAGTGGCATAGATCATATTTACTGTTTTAACCTCAGGAGGGAATTGTTTTTGTCCTCCATTGTTCGGCCTGCGAGGTTCCTCGTCATCCTCACCGCAGGAGCTTTTGCCCGCGTCTTTGGCTGTTGCTTTACTGGGCTGCTTAATTACCCAACAATTATGGTTGGTGTGATTGGCGGGCTTCTCTGCGGTGTCGTGTATCTGGCATGGCCTGTCCAAGATAACGTCCAACTTGGTGGGTCCATCCTGATTTCCTTTAGAGGGCTTTTTTCTCAGCCCTGACTTGGAGTTACGGAATCCGGCATTTACTGTCGTGTCATTGGCCTTGGTGCCATTGTGTTGCCGCTTATTTTTTGTTGCGGCATGGTTTTCCATTGCTGTCCCGGACTTCCGAAGTGGCAGGATCTTCTGGGTTGGTGCTTCTATGAGCCAACCAACGATCTTCACCGGCATAGAAGCGGGTCATAAGGGAGGTAAGAGCCGCCATTGTCTTTGGCTTATCTTGGCCAAGCTGGCGGGAGCCATTCATCCCGGATATTGTGCCTGAGCGCAGCTATGGCTTCGGCATCCGGGTAGTCAACTATCTGATTCTTTTTAGTAAGGAACCGATTCCAGAATTATCGAGCTGACTCCCCGGGCTGTTGGGTCACATGGCTCAAGTCATCGACGTCCGGAGGCCAGACATAGGTGCCTTGAAAGTTGGCTCGAAAGGCATCCTCTAGCTCTTCCCAGCTCCCTATGGAGTCTTCGGGGAGGTTGCTCAACCAATGTCGGGCTGGTCCTTTGAGATTTAATGGCAGATATTTGATAGCGTGAAGGTCGTCTCCTCATGCCATATGAATGTGGAGAAGAAAGTCCTCGATCCACACGGCCGGGTCTGTAGTGCCATCGTATGGCTCGATATTCATGGGTTTAAACCCTTTTGGGAATTGGTGCTGCATCACCTCATCCGTGAAGCACACTGGGTGAGTGGCGCCCCTTATTCGTGCCACGTCGCGTCGAACCTAAGAATCCATCCGTGCCCAGCGTTGATCGGAGCTCTATCGTTTTGGTCGAGCCATGCTTGGTATCTGTTTCTTCTTTCGTGAGGGTAGTCTCTTGATCCGTAAATGGACATTGACTAACCCACTCTAGCGGTCAGATCGTGTCGCTGATTGTATTGATATGCTGGTTGTGCCGCCTCCTTGCCTTTATGGTGAGGGGGAGCAGGTGAGTATTCGGGCTCTCCAGACGGCATGTCCCTTCCTCAAGGGGGGGCGGTCGGGCTGGTCACCTTGAGTCCGTCTAGGCGGTACGGGCTCGAAGGCCTCGTCGTCGAATTGTGGCAATAGTTTGCGCTTGGGGTAGCTCGTTGTCTGTTGTTCATAGCCATACCCGTCTTCAGCTTCTAGGACTTTCGTCCAACTGTCATTGAGAGTGTCTTGCTCGGCTTTTATCTGTTGTTGCTTCTTCTTCAAGATTCGCGTGGTAGCCATTAGTTGTTGCTTCAATCACTTTTGCCCCAATGGATCTTCTGGGACGATAAAGTCCTCAGGTCCAAGGCTGACCTCCTCTTCGAAGAGGGGCATATAATTGCTATCTTCGGAATCATTGGGGTCATCGGGAGTATGCTGACCCTCATGCCCCTCTAAGCCATCAGATTGGTGTTTGGGGGCAGGGTCACCGAGGTCTTCGCATTGTCCAGGGTGTCGTCGCCTGCGGTGCCCGTGTTACTTTCCCTGCTTCGTCGCCCCTTGGAGCGTCATCGTTGCCTCCGGCGCTTGGGGGGCTCCTCCCCTAGTTTATTATCCCTTCTGGGGGTGTCGTCACCATTGGTGCCGTCACATTCGTCCTTGGGGGTGTCCACCATGTAAATGTTGTGGGTGGATGTGGCCGTCCATCGGCCAGTGGCGGGAGGGGCCGTGGCCTCGCCATCATCGTCCATCTCGTCATCCTCCTCGGAGGCATAATCCAGCGTGTCGATTAAGTCCTTGATAGTGGCTATGAGGTGGGTGGTGGGTGGGACGTAAAATTCCCTATGGCCTGCCTCAAGGCTCCGTTGAGCGTGAGTCGAGGACTGGCCGTCAACAATAGTCATCATCTGGGTCTGATCCAGCGCCTCATTTAGTAAGGCAAGGCTGGCCTGGTCGGTGTATGAGGCCTCTTCGAGGTTGACCCCTGTCGTGATAGTGGAGTGGGGCACGAGTTCGGCCAGGGCCAGACCCTGATCTTCGGACACCATGCCAGTGTCGGGGCTCAAAGCCGCATCCATAATTAAGAAGCTGAGTTCGGCTGGGGTTGGATCCCCATCTTCGGACGCCGAAATCCCCTGAAGGTTCGAGGCCGACTCCACAATAGGGAGGGAGAGTCCGGATAGGATTGATTCCTGGTCTTCAGACGTGGGTAGTGTTTCTGAGCTCGAGGCCGATAGCACGGCAGGGGCCGATCCGGAGATCGGACCAGGGAGAGGTCCCAAAGTCAATGCTTAGGAGGTCGTTTTTGTTGAAGGTACGGACAAAAAGCCCGTGAATATCAGATTGCCCCGAGCGTCGGTGACATACTCAAGGTTGCCAAACCTGACTTGCTGCTCGGGGGCGAAGATGTCGACCTAGTTGAGATGACCAGTCAAGTCGGCGTGCAGGAAGTTGCTGCCGAACGCGAAAAGTTGCCCGGGATGAAGATGTCCCTAGTGTTTGATGCCGTCTCCGATGATCAGGAGAGCCATCAACCCTTTGACGATCTGACAGCGGAACTCTCAATGAAAGCACCAATGTCAGTGTCAAAATTGGCGGATCTCGGGTAGGGTCCCGAACTGTGGATCTTGGATCGATGGGGAACAAGGGACGTAGAACACGATATTTATCCAAGTTAGGGCCCTCTCTGAGAGGTAATACCCTACATCCAGCTTAATTATATTGCTTGTGTATATGGGGATTACAGAGTTGATCTACCTCGAGATCGGAGGAACTAAACCCAACTAGTAGGATGGCAATTGTTCTCCTAGCCTCTACAGACTAAACCCCCTGGTTTATATAGACACCAGGGGTACTAGGGTTTATAGATAATCGGTTACATCAAGGAAACACCGGATCTTCCATCTTGACTTGGGGTACACACCAAGGCACAAGTGTCTTCGGTCCGGACATGGTGCGGCCCAACAATCCGACCCACGTGAGATGAGCCGGCACCCCGAGGACCCCCTAGTCCAGGACTCCCTCACCCCCCACAACCACTTGTTGGTTGGCTGCTCCAAGAGAACTTGACACTTGTTATTTGAGAGCAACCCATCCTCTGACGACTTTGAGAGAATCCTAAGTGAGGAAAAACCCAGAGCCAAAGTGATTGAGCATCACTGAAGAGATTGATCTGTGTGATCCGACGCCTGTTACCTTCGAAGATTGTTATTCTTCCAGACGGTTAGGCGTCAAGTTCTGAGTACACCAAGAGTCATTGCAGTGTGCCGGTGAACAAGTCTGTGAAGGTTTTGGAAGTCTACCTTGAAGACTTACAACGAGTGATTGGGCGAGGTATGCTTAGCTCAAGAGGAATACGGTAAGGACTGTGTGTCCTCTGAGTTGCGACTCAGCCACCTCAACCAGACGTACAGTTGATGCAGCAACTGGAAGTAGTCTACCAAATTGCATTTTCTTCACCGAGCCAACCTGATTTCAAATTCCTCACCCTCTTTTACATTATTCCACCGCTGAAGAATTTGTGATCTATGCTCTGACGAATTTGAACTGAAGAATTTCATCACTCTATCTTTCATTTCCTCAGTTCATATTCTTCATGATTGTATGATTGCATGTTCTTCACTCTTACGTATCCTGATTGCATGTACTCTGATTCTGTGATGACTTAGTTTCCCTTGTGTTTCTATTTCTTCACTCTGATCTTCGTCAAATTCTTTAGAGTTTGACGAATTTCTAAAAATCTCCCATTCACCCCCCTCTGGTCTTCGTCAAATTCTTCAGAGTTTGACGAATTTCTAAAAATCTCTCATTCACACCACCCCACCCTCCCATCTGGGAGATAACGTGCGCTTTCAGGCATGTACTTCCGGATGCTCCTTCTGCTTGTTACACTTGTCTTCAGGAGGAGGACACCGTGGACCATACATATATTGGCACAACGTGTTTACGCGAGGCGGGTGTGGCATGGTTGTTTTGACAGCTTGCGGGTTAACATACACATCCCGAAGGAAGATGACTCCTTCATGGAATGGTGGGAGAGGACCCGTGCAAACTTTCGCGAGATGGACAAGAGGGGTTTTGACTCGTTCGTCATTGCAACCGCTTGGCATCTCTGGAAGCAAAGGTACGCAAGAGTGTTCAATTGAGTTGAGCAAGTTAGAACACCCACTAGTTTGGTGCAGCAAATTTTGGAATAGATCAAAATATGAAAAATTGCCGGAGTTAGAGTAGCGGGGTTAACTAGATTCGTGGGAGAGTAGGCCTTTTCTTTTTTGGTTGGTGTTGATGTACCTGTTGCGATGTTTGCATCCTACCATGGGTTTTTATAAACAATGCTTTCTTCTTTTTATAAAAATACGATACGTCATTGGCATATCTCGAAAAAAGAAGTTAATGACTAAGAGCAAGTTGGCTATACTATTAACCATGCTCTAATAGCTCGTTTCGCTCACATTATTCAGCTACCGATGACTCTTATTCAGCCAAAGCAAATCTCACTAGTTCTTGCAAGTGGCTAAGAGGGGAAATGGCCCGTGTGGGTATCTAGCCGTCGACGTCCCGGTATAAATCTGAGCGTAACAAATCACTGCAATGTAATATCCGGCAATAAAATGGTACTCCCCCGTCCCATAATATAAGTAGTGTTGAAAACGCTCTTATATTATGGCACGGAGTGAGCAGATGAATGCAGCAGTCACAGCACGATGGGGTCAGAGGCTTGGGACCCTTTCGCTCCCCGGTTCTTGAACCTCTTGGCCTGCACGCAGCTTCGATTGCTCCTCCGAAGCGGCGGTCGCTTCCGCCCCTTATGGCCTCCGTCCTCCTCACTGTCCTCGCTCCCTTCCGATGCCTCCTCTTCCCCCGCCTTGCCGTCTCCCTCCTCCTCCTCCTCCTCCCCCGTCGGCTTGTCACAGCATTCCGGCGCAGGATGATCGCTGCCGTTCTGCACCGCTTCATCAGGCACAGGCCCATGCGGTGGAATGGCAGGAGGGTGCGGTGCAGTCAACTCAGAGGTCCCCTCGCCCCCAGCATCCACTGCGGCATTTCCTTCCTTCAAGTTAGAATCCTCCAGTAGTTCATGGATCCGAGCAAACGACGTGGCTACCTCGACGGGAAGTGACCGTTGCTCCAGAAATCGCGTGATGGTTGGGAGCTCCTTCTTGATGCTTTCCACCTACAATTATATGAATGAATGATAGGTCACTTAGACTGTGGACAAAGCTTGCCCTCATAAGCATTACCTTTATGGACCAGAGTTTACCACTGCAAGCAATTTGAGACCAGGAAATTCTCGTGCCGTGCTCGCTGGCGTAAAAACATCCTCAGTCGTTTTACAAGTGGCAGCAACTGCTGTATGATCAGGACGAGTAGCATTGATCAACTGCTCGAAATGTTTGATCTCTGATGCATACTCCAGGCTCCAATCCACTGACGCGTTCCACTGATGTCGCTGGAACCCACCAACATCGCCGGCCGGATGCTGTTCTTGACCAAACTGACGAGCAAATCGATCTGGGAGATATACTTCCCTCACGTTAAAGTTGATCAGCCATGTTCTGGAGAAGCAGATGCTATCGGGTGCCGAGCAGATGTTGGGAATAGATGCAGGATCCATACCCTTGTAAGGTTCCCAGTTCACCTAAGATAAAATACTTGCATTATCAGAAATAAATTCATATATCCAAATGCCAAGTAATAAATAATAACTAACAAAGGATAAAGTATGGCTACGAATTACCGAAAGGGAAACTCACATCTGAAACTCGAAGCTGACTGAAAGCTTTTCTGATATCTGAAGCTTCCTTTGCTGGTTGGGATATTGCGTGCCCGGCCCACCTGCATACTCGTGGGACGACAAGTGCTGGATCATCCTCCATTTCAGGGCGCATCGCTGGAATATATTCATATATCCACCCCTTTGCACAGAAACTCAAAAGATACATTAGAACACTTCCATACTGAAGCAGTGTCACAACTTAGAACAACTTGATTTTAAAAAGAATACTCGAAAAAAAGGAAACATTTTATTCTTTCCAATCATCCAATGTTTTTTTTTTACCAATTGTCATTCTCCTGTTGAAATTCTTTCTCGTTTTAAGAAGTGTCAAGTGTCAACCATGAGCAGCTCTGTAAATTCTTAGACAACATCCAATTGTGAAAACTTTATACATGTTCTGTATATCAAATACATGCAATTAGATCACATTTTCCTTTTCCTGTTCATATTTCTCTGTGAATGTAGCATCATCGATATTCTCAAAAACATATTATAATATTTCTTCATAATGCTAAGAGCTAAAAAGAATACATTGTAATCTTTTTTCACAATGTAACAGTAGAGCGAGAACCCAGAAGGCCAAAACAACTTTATTTGCAAAGAGTCTATGAAGGACAAAAGGCATTTCATTCTTTCCTAACATCCAATTCCTTTTTTCAATTGTATGAATGTATCATCTCACTTGTGCCTTTTCAGCTCTTATTCCACTGTGCATGCATACATAGTTATTTTCTGTTTGCAGTAACATTAGAGAACCGAGCATCACTCGGTGTGGGGTGCAGGCTCAGCACACCCGCTGGTGAGGCTTGCCATCCATTAATGATCAAAATGCCATGGGTGCTACCGTGCTAGTGCCCATTGTTTGAAAATAAATTAGTCTACAGTAACATTATCACTGTTTCACACAAACCTAAGGCGAAAATTTTATTCAACAAAGAAGAAGGGTTTGCGAAGTTAAATAGAACTGGAAGAAAATGACCGAAGTAAGATTTGACCCTGATAAATGAGAGTTCACATACCATGAGCAGAGTGGCGCTGCCGAATAGTCTTTTTCTGGCAATAGAGTGAGAAGACGCTAATGCAGAGAGAGCCTTGTAAAGATGAGCAAGAGCAGCAGTGCCCCATGCGTACTCTCGTACCTTGTCAAAGTCCGACAAGAGTGGTAAGTACTTTGGAGAGACATAGCCCTTGTCTTTGTCTGAAAACAGGGTTGCTCCAATCAAGTACAAGAGATATGCTCTTGTTTTGCACGCAATTTCTTTATCAGTGGGATGCTCCGAGAGCTGACTAAACTTGGAGTGTAACCAAGAGAGCTTCACACGGCTACCCCTGCAGTCCTTTGAACCAGGAACTCGGCCAAGGTATTGGAGGAGCAGCTCTTCTGACGACATGTTGAGCACAGCCCCGGTGGTCACCGCACGGCCTATGATCGGAATTCCCAGTATGTAGGCAGTGTCCCTGAGTGATGGTGCCATTTCAAAGTCATGGAACCTTGCTGTGTTTGTTTCTTTGCTCCAAAGCTCGCAAAATACCCTGAGCATAGTGCGGTTGATGGCCAGATCTCCCATGTATTTCAGATTTCCGAGCCCACTGGCGTCGACTAACTGTTGCTGCCGTTCATTCAGATTCCATGTCTTGAGCTCCTCCGTCGTCTGGCACAGTGATAGTTCACGAGCTTCCTGCATGATTAAGCACCGCATGTTATACATGCAAGAACCAAAGGAAAGTTTGGCAAATTGGTGTCACTTGGTTTATGAAGATAACTACCTGATTGCGACCTTTGCCTGTTGGTACCGCCTCCGAGGATTCCATTTAGTTCTGCTGCATAGAGATAAAACACCATAGTTATTTCAAATGGAACAAAACACGGTAAGAAAAAATTCAAACCATGCACGAGGGCTGCATGTGTTATATTATGAGAGGATAAAAGCTTACAGGCCATAAAACAACCACAAAGTCCAAAAGAGAAAACATCAACAACGACAAAACTACAGTAAATGTTTAGGAAGGGGGGCAGACTGAAGAGTTATGTAATAAGTGTATGCAAAATAAGAATCAGAGACATGATCTATTGTTAGAATAAAAAATTAATGGAAGGTCTGAACAGAGCATAGATGATGTGCGGTAACAGGAAGTTGGGAAGAATGTAGATTTCAGACTTTCAATGGTTTGGCCTTTAAATTGCATTTAATTATCAAAACCAATTGTTGAGAGTTTGAATGGTAAAAGGGCAAGCAAATACAGATTGTAATCAACAAGAATGTGAGACAAGACAATGGCATGGAAACCAGAATTCCATAAAAGCATAAACGACTGCAGTGAGTCAACTCCTTGAAATACGGCGTCAGCAAAATTATTCATGATGGTGTGTTCACAGTGATATGCCTTGCCTACATTGGCACAAGAATAAGATTCAGACCGGTTGACAGGCGACAGACACCCAAGGTAAAAGAAAAGGAGCGTACTATTACTAACCAACCAGCCAAAGAAGGCCATAGTTTTTTTTTTTTTGCTCTCTTTTTGAAAAACGAGTTGGAAAGAAGGCCATAGTTGAAATAAACACAAAGATGCACTATTATGCAACTAGTGTAAGAAATTCACTACTCCTTTAAATTGACTATACACCGGAGGAAGAGAAGCAAGCCCTAAGTTGATACTTGCGCCAGATCAAGAAGATGATCCAGCCATTTAGTACACCGCAGCAAAATAAGATGAGAAACCGGTGTCACAAAATACCAGAGAAACGCATCTGGCCATTACGGATTTCGCCTTGTAAAGCCTTTTTTTTTTCTCGAGTAGAGCGAAGATGCTGGACAAGCGTATCCTCCGGCTTCAAACCCCGCCACCATGGCAGCACGCAAGCTTGAGGGGGGAAAGAAGGGGGGCCAAAACCCCGAGAACCCTAATCAGGAGAAGTGAATGGGGGCTGGCGAAGGAGAGATCTACGACGAGAATTAGGAACTCTAGTCGAGTTAGTCAATCACGAGCAGATGATGATCCTAGACGAACCCTTTTATTCAAAAAGAAGAAAAGGACGATCCTAGACGGAAAAAGAAACTGAACTGAAACGCTAATACAATCGAGAGAGGGAGAGAGCAAACCAGGGTGAATCGCAGGAAGACGAAGGAAGTGCAGACTGGAATGGGCAAGGGCAGCGGCCAGCGGGTTTTTGGCGACGAACGGACTGCTCTGCTCTGCTCTTCTCTTCTCTTGGCGGTCATATATTATTATGACTGGCCTGACTCTGGCTCCTTTGGGAAAGGAAAGGCTCGCGCTGACATGGGGTTCCAGTGGACGCCCGTGAAGCCGAAACGTGGCAACCAGGACAACATGCATTGCAAGCTCGCTCCCTCTTTTTCTGTAGAGCAGTCCAAATTTATGGCAATTCCTGAATGGTGCTACCAGCCCTACTTGACAACCAACCGCGTCCCTCGCCCACTCACGGCTGCCTCGCCACTTTCTCCTTCAGATTGCTTCTTGTTGATGAGTAGGAGTAGGGGGCATGCCAAAGCCATCCGGCACACGGTAATTTCCCTGCATTCTCACCCGGCCATGACTGCGACATTTTTTCCTCTCAAAATTCAAGATTGGGCGTGCCCCCAACATGAAATTCTGAGAGACCACCGCACGTGATACTGCTCTATCTACTTGGTGCAACATCCTATCCTGGCATTCTGTCATGGCCTGCACTTGTGCATATCTACCGCGCAAAGAAAACACAGAGGGCCACAAAGCACACCACCACCAAAACGCAAGTACCGCAGATTAACTGGAGAGGATAGATAGCACATCCAATCCGGCGCATACGCCACAAAGGTTGCGCAGCATCCACCTAGCCCTACCAGCCTACACGACTCATGTGTGCACACACGCATGCCAAAGGCTAGGTTTTCACTCACCACGACCAAAGGCCTGCAAACGCTACATAAAACAGTAAACTGTCTGCGGCAGCGCGACAACAGGTCCGCTACTTTGTACAATGCCCAAGACCAAACGACGGGCAGCGTCACTCCCTTATCAGAGGAAGATCGGGTTGGTCTCCTCGGCCCCAACCCCGTCCCTGTGCTTGAACATCTTGAGCTGCACGCACATCCTTCCACTCCTTCGGACCCCCTGGTTGCTCCTCGGGGTTCCGGATTCCTCACACCCCCGCCTCCTTGATTCCGGCAAGCTCGAGTCTCCAGACGAAGACGACTCTGCTGTCAAATGCGACATTTGCCAGGGATCCATCACCTCGTTTTCCTTCAACGCTTCCCCTCTGTTTAGCAGAGGCACGGTGCCATCCAACACCCTGTCACACTTGCTAGCCTGATAAGGCACCAGCGCACCTGCATACCGGTCTACCACAGAATCCTGAGGGCTTGAAGGATCTTCAGAGAGCAAAGGTTTTCTCACCCTCTTTCTTGGATTCTTTGCTCTGACATTCTTGCTCTGAGCTGCTTCGTCTTTCCTTTCATTGCTCTGCGGTGGGAAGTAAGTTTTGATCATCGTACTCACCCTCTCTAGGAAGCTTGCAACCTCCACGGGGAGCACCTGTCCCTCCAGATAACGATCAATTACCGGGAGATCATTCTTTAAATCTTCAACCTACACCCCACAACCGATGATCGCATCAAGGATCACCTCATATACTAAAAATGTACAAAGAAAATAGATTCCTATTGGGGCCTTACCATCATAGAGAAGTTTTGAGATGCATTCCGGCTGCATCTGGTAGTACTCTGTCCAGCTATAGACTCATTCGGGAGGGAGTTTATGTTAGCTTCCGTAGAAGGGATAAAACGACAACCAACCAATTGATGGAAGTCCTCAATCTCACGAGCATACTCAACCCTCCAGTCTTTCCCCTTACTCCAAGTTCTTCTTGCCCACATTGGCACCTGATAGAGGCGACCTTGCTCCCTCCCAAACTGCCTATTGAACCGGTCAGGTACATACACCTCTTTTATGTTAAAGCTGATTAGCCATGTCCGAGAGTGGCAAATGTTATCTGCTGCGATGCAATATCCTGGAACAATCGCTGGATTTATGTCCTTGTAAGGATTCCAGTTGACCTGAAGAAATGATTAAGAAATTAATTCAACAGCAGTTCATTTGTAGGAATAAATTATAAAATAGGTAATTTGCACTTGCATCGGACAACTGAAGCTGCTCGAAATCCTTTCTCCATTCCATAACTTTCTTTCTCTGCCCACGTGTTGTTCCTCCAAAGTTCCATCGGCATGCCCGGGGCAGCAACGTGTTCTGATTCTTTTGTTGGGGTTGAGTCAAAGGAATATACTCATAAATCCAAGCCTTGTAGGAACAAGGGGAATCTCTAATTAGTGAACAAGATGGCACAAAACTAGAGATAACAAGGGAAATCTCTAATTATTGAACAAGATGGCACAAAGCTAGAGATAACAAGGCAAATCTCTAGTTAGTGATCAAGATGGCACAAAGCTACACATATAACACTAAATACACAAGAGACAATACCATGAGCAAAGTTGCACCGCCGAGAAACTGGGTAGTAGCATTTGGTGTTACTGGACAGACAATCCTCTGTACAAATGAGCAAGGGCTGCAGCCCCCCAAGCATACTCATGTATCTTCCTGAAATCCCCCAAAAGTGGTAGGTATCTTGGGGATACAAATCCCCTCATTGTGTCGGGAAATAAGGTGGAGCCAACCAAATATAGAAGGTACGCCCGGGTGCTGAATGCAATGTCATTGATGGTGGGGTTTTCTGGCAGTTGATGGAATTTCCTGTACAACCAGGTTAATCTGATCAATCCACATAGTTGCTCTCCGCTTCCAGGGCTCTCTCCTAAGTAATGCAAGCACATGCGATTCACAGCTTCATCACCGATGGGTTCTGCCGTCACCACATGACCAGTCACTGGGATTCCTAGAATATATGATACATCACGGAGAGACGGTGCCATTTCAAATCCCATGAAATGTGCAGTATTTGTTTCGTTGTTCCATCTCTCACAGAAGGCTGTAAGCAAGGAACGGTCAATGGTAAATCCTGTCGTAAGAGCAAGATGTCCAAGACCACTAGCATTGACTACTTGTTGTTGTTCATCAGTTAGAATCCATTCTTTTTGCTTCCGTGTCTGCTGGCTTGGTAGCAGAACACCATACCGCTGTAGAAAATAGAGCTTGTCAGTACATATTTTTGCTCATGACGACCGAGTGAAATGGAGGAGGAAAGAGCCACATACTGTCCAGGTTTGCGAGCTACCAACTGCTCTTCGGCCATTTGGTTTTTGTTGCTGTGTTGTCTGATCATGAGCTGTGGGATTCATCTTATCCTGGAAAACATGGTAAAAAAATTGAAGGTAAATGTTCCACATCCACTATGGTTAAGCAAAAAGGTGGCCGAACAGGGATGTTGTTATTTGTGCAGATCCAGTTGATACAAATGATGTGTAAAAAAAATTAAAAAGGAAACAACATATTGGAAGCAATACACTAGAGTGCATATTCCAGAATAATGACAAGCGACACCATTTCTTATAACTGTTGAAAGTGATGCCCAGCAATCACTAGATTCAATTACACACCATTTCTAACGGAATATTTTGAGCAGTAAAATAACACACAGGGTCTGATAAGTTAAGGGATGCTTGTGCAACATAAATATAGTCAAGCACACAATAATTCAAAATTTCAGATAGACAACGTCTATGGGAAATACATTTTTTAGTTAAAGTATGTTTTGAACATTTTCCTGTCCTATAATTTGCCGACTACCCACCACTCCCACTGGTAGGATGATTCATGGATAGTGGGAAAGCACAAGTAAAGTGCATTACATACACATGCACAAAAGGTCCATCCATGGCCACTATTTGTTCCAAAATCTAAACAGTGGCAGATGTTGAATTTGTTTTTACTGTTTTTTTGGCAGAAATATCAGTGAGGTCGGTCTGAGTAATAATAATGTTTTTTCCTTAAGTAATCAGCTGTGGAGATGAGCATGATACATCTTTAGATGCCACCAGTATGTTGCAACTTTTCAAGGTCCACAAACAGATGTCTAACAAAACAAAATAAGAGGGCAACTATTTGCGACACTCAAAATAACTTTCAAACTTTTGTAGTAAATGATCCAGGTACAAGATTTGGCACCAAATCATGCCAAGTTTTGGGGGCAGCCCGGTGCATGTAGCTCCCGCTTGCGTAGGGTCCGGGGAAGGGTCCGACCACTTTGGGTCTTTGGCATGCAGCCTTTCCCTGCATTTCTGCAAGAGGCTGTTTCCAGGACTTGAACCCATAACCTCATGGTCACAAGGTAAATATTCATAGATACTAATTTCCTTTCTCCAAGCAAGTTAGCTCTATAGCCTCTGATGATAAATCGTTGTGTAAAGCACAGTTACCAGGACCTGGGTTTGACCAGGCCAAGGAAAAGGGTCGTGAGACGAGAATCACGGCATCTCTAAGAGTAAGGCTCCAAGGGGGTTGTTGTTCTTCGGGGTGGCAGCTTGGGGTGCGGGACATGATCCCGATGAAACCGGATAAGTGACCTAATTACAATCTATTTCATGCAATATAAAGTCTAAGCACGTGACAAACGGAGAAACGGAAAATGGAACCTTTGCTGGTGTGTGTACGTTATCACCCACCCCCTAGGTAGATCCAGCTTTTAATGAGGCGATATAGCATGAATTTTCAAATGTTCTCACAGCAGATCCAGCAAATGGGCACAACATGGCAAACAATAAACAGACTGATTTTGTTTTGTCAAATATAAGTTTTTTCTAGAAAAGCCTTACAATAAATAAGTGCCGCGAAAACCTGCCGGGTCAGCAAATCATGCAGGGTGACTGTGCTGTGTGTCAATCATCGCAATAGCTAGAGATGAAACACATGCAAGACAGCAAGATTCACCAATCCAAAAGAAAATTTATCATAATTAAGATTTAAGACTGATCCAGAATTATTACACTTTAGAAGTTAGTACAATCTTGTCCTCAAAATTAAATCCATCTGCATGTTTTTTGTTATGTACTCTTCTCATATTGAACTAGGGGAGTAAAGGCTCCGTTTGGCGTTGTGGTGGGTGGTGGCCTTCCCCCTAGTTTGTACAGCACTGCACCTGCAAACTACCACTAAATAGAGTCTTGGAAATTCAGAATATAAAATATTTGACTTGATTGCCATATTTAATTTGACTAAGAACAGAACTTGGTTAGCTTGAAGTTAGGTCCATATATGCAGATCTTGCCCTAAACGTAGAACGATATCCTCCAAGGCGCTACCAGATATCAGCATTATTCAATCCACGAGATGAATCTCAGCTCTCTCGCCCCTTGGGCTCCATCCCGCCATGTCATTGTTTGTCAATGAACTGGAATCTCAGAACCAAACTCAACTTATTCCATCACAGTTGATCTTTCATGTATCATAAGATGTAAGATTAATCCTTTTCAAAGCTGGGTCGTAATTGAAACGAATGAGAAAAGGAAACAATATCCATAATATCTATCGGTATACGGAAAAGTGTGTGATTTATTTATTGTGCATCCATCAGTGCCTTGTTGATCCAAGTAAAATGGCAACTCTGGAAAAGAAAAGCAGTCAACCATCTAAATGAGGCCTTTTACAATGCACCAACAGAATGCAGAACAGTCCATGCGTCTACCATGGTCCATGGGAAGTCACAAGAATCAGGTAAGTCAGCGGAAGAACCAACCAAACCCACACGCTGCTCTTGTTATCACCACCACACGCTCGATGATTCGAACAAACCGCAAGGCGGACCCGCGGCGAACGCAGCAATCACCACTACTTTGGCAAATGGTAAGTCAGGCGGCGCAATCAGTTCAGTTGCCACCAGGGAACACGCATGCATGGAACAACTACACAATGCATTAAACCTACGCTGACTACTTTTTGCATAGCATTCCAATCACGATTCACGAACACCCGAGGATGAGATACCGAGATTACGGAGAAGTGACATCGATGGATCTAAGAACAAGGGCTCCGTCTAGCCGAGCCCGATAGTGATAGGGATGTTGAGAATGACGAGGAGTCGGAGAGTACCTGCTCGCCGGGGAGGGGCGGTAGGTGACGCGCCGCTCGCCTCCGCCTCCGGAGGCTGTTAGGGCACCTCCTTTTCCTTACCTGGGGCTTGGGCGGAGGTGGAGGCGGAGTAGGGAAAGTGGAGAATGGAGCAGGCGGGGCCCACGAGGAGAAAAGCTCATCGAGCGAGCAGCACCTTTGTATTGATGTTATAAAGACTTTCAGGCTTACATGTGCACAAATGTGGCTGTAGTTTAGTGGTGAGAATTCCACGTTGTGGCCGTGGAGACCTGGGCTCGAATCCCAGCAGCCACACATTTATGTTTTTTTTAGCCATGCACAAACTCGTTTATCTCTTAAATCCTCACAGAAATCATGCACCAGAGGAATTATTCACTTCAGAACCGAGTAATTAAGATGGTGGACTTCATGTCAATCAATCTAAAAATTTGAGCCAAGTCAGTCAAGTACCGAGAATTAAAATTTAATAAGTACTGACATACAGCCACACATTTATGTTTTTTTAGCCATGCACAAACTCGTTTATCTCTTAAATTGATGTTTATAGCCATGCACAAACTCGTTTATCTCTTAAATCCTCATAGAAATCATAACAAGCGAATGCACCAAAGGAATTGTTCACTTCAGAACCGAGTAATTAAGATTGTGGACTTTATGTCAATCAATCTAAAAATTTGAGCCAAGTCAGTCA